TTGTTGAACATGTTTTCAATGCAATCTCCTTTTTCCTCCCCTTCTGGAATAACCATGACTCAGATATTTGAGCGCTTAAGGTTGTCTGATATCTCTCTCAGATTTTCTTCAATGCCTTTGATTCTTTTTTCTTTTTTTTGGTCTGCTGTGTTATTTCAAACAGCCCATCTTTAAGTTCAGAGGTTCTCTCTTCAACTTCCTCAAGCCTGCTGTTTAAACTCTCCATTGTGTTTTTTATTTCACTGAATGAATTCTTCAGTTTGGCAAGCTCTGCTACATTTTTTTTCAGGACATTGATTTCCTTGTACATTTCCTCTTTTCTCTCTCAGATTTTCTTCAATGCCTTTGATTCTTTTTTCTTTTTTTTGGTCTGCTGTGTTATTTCAAACAGCCCATCTTTAAGTTCAGAGGTTCTCTCTTCAACTTCCTCAAGCCTGCTGTTTAAACTCTCCATTGTGTTTTTTATTTCACTGAATGAATTCTTCAGTTTGGCAAGCTCTGCTACATTTTTTTTCAGGACATTGATTTCCTTGTACATTTCCTCTTTTAGGTCCTGTGTACTTTTCCTCGTTTCATCATGATGTCTAGCTGAGTTTTCTTGTATCTCATTCAGTTTCTTTAGAATTATCGCTCGAAATACCTTGTCAGTCATTTTAAGGGCTTCTTCAATAGGATTTAGAGCTTGAGAGTTATTACCCTTTGGTGGTGTACTTTCTTGATTTTTTGTATTTCTGTTATTTTTTTCTTTGATGTTTATTCATTGTGCCAGGGGTTTTCACTGTCCACAGGTTTGACACTATTGTCTGACTAAGATGTTGCTGTGGTTGCCAATTTGGTATGGCTACCTCAGTGACTGCTCCGTTGGCCACTAGTGCCTGGTGTGTGTGGTTGCCTCGAGTCTTGGGCCTCTCTGTGGAGCCACCTCTCTGGTCAGCTTGGACTCTGCCGGGCTGCTGGATCACGAGGCGGTACCGCAGGGTATGTGGTCTCTGCTGAGCTTCCACCTCCCATGCTGGACTTCTCCCCGTTCCGTGCACTCTGGCCTGGGCTGCTGGGATGCGTTGAGGCACTGCAGAGCATGTGGTCTCTGCAGAGCTTCCCCTTCCCCTGCAGGATTTCTCCCTGCTCTGTGCGCGCTAGGCTGAGCTTGGGATGGAGCCGGGTGGCGGCGGTGAAGCCTACCTGCTGCTCGATCACGCGGCGGTGGCCCCTGCACAGGGTATGTGGACACTACGGAGCTTCTAACTCCCTTGCTGGACGTCTCTGTGCTCCGTATGCATTGGGCTGGGCTGCTGGATCGTGCGGCAGCAGTGTGGTCCCTGTGGAGTTCCCGCCTCCCCTGCCGGAAGTCTCCCTTCTCTGAGCGCACTCGGCCGGGCTGGGAATGGAGCCGGGTGCCTGCGGTGTAGCCTACCTGCTGGATCACGCAGTGGCAGCCCCACAGGGTGTGTGGTTTCTGCAGAGCCTCCGCCTCCCTTGCCGGACGTCTCCCTACTCTGTGCGCACTGGGCTGCTGGGTCACACAGTGGCAGCCCCCCAGGGTGTGTGGTTTCTGCAGAGCCTCCACCTCCCTTGCCGGACGTCTCCCCACTCTGTGCGCACTGGGCTGGGCTGGGAATGGAGCCAGGTGGCGGAGGTGAAGCTTATCTGCCGGATCGTGCGATGGCGGCCCTGCAGGGCATATGGTCTCCACGGAGCTTCTGCCTCCCCCACTGGACGTCTCCCTGTTCTGTATGCACTTGATGTTATGTTTTTATAGTTTAAATTGGTTGATTTGTGGGAGAGAGTGACGCTAGGGACCGTCTATTCCGCCATCTTGATTGGAAGTAAATCTGGCAAGGCGGCCATCTCCACCGCACAGATCCCTCCTTGAGAATGCAGCCGCCGCTTCTTGCGCCACTTGCCCGTGCTTCATGATTTGGGACTGTGGATTCTGTTTGGGTTTTTGTTCCGGTGGTCATTTACCCTGGCTGGATCCAAACTACAAGCCTGTTTGCCTCCCTGTCAACAGCAACTGCTGATGTCTTTGAACAGCCGCATCCAGCCTTCTGGCATGTGCTTTTGCTGTGCCCAGTGGAGGTTTCCATGCAGGGTGCAGCTCAGTCCCACCAGGGATTGGAGAGGCACCGAGGTGCAGGTTTCAGACTCGTGCCACCGTGGTCCCTCCTTCCTGGGTCTCACTCCTGGTTTGGCAGCAGTTCAGGTGTCCGAACATGTCCTCTGGCCTCCTGAGCCAGCAGCACTGAGGCTGGGGCAGTGCCATTGGGCACAGGCTACATGAAAGTAGACCTTCTTGGGGAAGGGGCAGCTCCCCTCTGTCTGCTTTTGTCACTCTGTAGTGTCCGAAGTATTTGCTTTTGTATTTTGCCCAGAGTGTGTATTGGGAGGGATCACATGCTGATGGGAGCTCCTCCATGGTCACCGGAGGCTCCAGCACTGCTGCTAGGCTTGCCCTGGCTTGCAGTGGGCCACGCCAGGACAACCCAGAGGTGGCAGCCACTGGCTAGTGCTGGTGAGAGGAGGTGTGGCCCGTGGCTGTAACTTCCTTGTCCTCTGGCTTTTTTGTCTGCAGAGTTGAATCGTTGGAAGCCTTGCCCATACTGAGCCGCAACCCAAGCAGGAGCACAGACCGGGACTGGGAAACTGCATCGGCGGCTTCTTCCCTGGCCTCGGTGGCCGAGTACACAGGTGATGGCCGGCGCCCTCCTCAGAGGTCACTGTGCATATAGCCTCGTACCTGCGTGTGGCGCACTGTAAAATATCTGCTCTTTAGTGTGGTCTGAAAGGTGTTTTTCTTTTTTTTTTTTTTTTTTTGTCTTTTTCCGTGTCCGGCAATGGATCGCAACCCTCAGTGTCGCCCCCATACCGGACCGGCAACGGGATTGCAGCCCTCGGTGTTGCTCCCGCACCTCGCTCAGCCAGTGAGCGGGAACTGGTCTGTATGTGGGATCCGAACCCTCGGCGGGAGCGCCGCCGTGCTTCCCAAGCGGCGCACTTAAGCAGTGCGCCACCGGGCCGGCCCCCAAAAGGTGTTTTTCTAATAAAATGTTTTTATTCAGTGAAAGAGAGCTGTTTTTCACTGTTTGGTGTTTGAAATGGGTGTACCGTTTGGCTGTAGAAGCTCCCAGGCCTGACTCCCCTCCTGGCTTGTCCCCTGCTGTCTGCCTTGACTTTTTTTTTTTTTTTTTTTGTCCTTTTTGAGACCGGCCGCCCCACACTCAGCCAGTGAGCGCTGTGAGCGCACCGGTCATCCCTATATAGGATCTGAAACCGCGGCGGGAGTGCTGCACTCTCCCAAGTGCGCCACGGGCTCGGCCCTGCCTTGACTTTTTGATAGTGAAGAAACTAAAACTAGAAAAGGGATAAGTTTAAATTACTTTAGTCTTTTATTTAGTTTTTAAAAAAATTTATAACTCAGAATTTCTTCAAATAGATTTGAAGTGATTCTTACTTTCCATTTTCAAAAAAAATCATAAATATCTGTGATTCAGCCCACGTATTGCTTGGTTCTGAGAAATTGTTGGTTTTGTGGTGTGTGTATGTTCATGCCTTAGAATACTATCTTTGCAAATGTTGGCTTGATTTTCTTAGGTCCCAAACTCTTCAAGGAGCCAAGCAGCAAGTCGAACAAACCAATTATTCATAATGCTATCTCCCATTGCTGCCTGGCTGGGAAAGTGAATGAACCTCACAAGAATTCAATACTGGAGGCAAGTATCAAATTTCTCCACCAAGTCTTTATGTAAAATACAAAGTGTTTATAAACTGAGGGTTCTCAATTAAACACCTGTAATTATTTACAGAAGAGAGTTTCTCTCTCTATTACAGATTGAACATTCCTAATCCAAACTGCAACATGCTCCAAAATCCAGAATTTTCTGAGTGCCAATATGACACTCCAAGGAAATACTCATTGGAGGATTTTGGATTTGGGGTTTTCGTATTAGGGATGCTCAACCAGTAAGTATAATGCCGATTTTCCAAAGTCCAAAACATTCTGGAATTCAAAATACTTTTGGTGCCAAGAGTTTCGGATAAGGGATACTAAACCTGTATTTTGAATTACTCTACTGTTGAATAGCAACTAGACCTTTCTGTCAGTGATTGCAGGGATACATGGTCGTATCCTAGGTTATGGTACACAGAATTCCCGGGGCTGTAGGAGCTGGGTTGGCCTCCAGGAAGAGCAGAATTTTGACAGAAAGGTAGGACTCAGGTGAACAGGAACTCGAGTGGACGTCCTACTTGGGACAGAGTTGGGACCTTGAGGCAGGGTCTGGGGGCTGGTGAGAGACTCTCCTGTCTAGTGGGGTGAGGCTGAGTAGGGGGCAGTTACAGGAGGGGCAGGGGGCCCAGGTCCTTCAGGGCTGGGCAGGGAGTGGGAAACTTGGATTAAATATTCTTTTTAAAGTGAGAAAGATAGAGGAGCTGGCTTGGTAGTTGAGGCATGTGATGGAGGCAGAGTGGAGGGAGTTGTACTGCGCTCATGAGGACAGCCATGGAAGGCCATGGGATTGTTGCAGGGAGGAGGAGCTGAAAGAGGGTGACAGGGCTCGGAGCCACTCCTGGTTTGAGTCTGGATCACTGGAGACATGGGAAATTTATCTTGGGGTAAAATGCTAGTTGCCTTTGTTTTGTGGACTGTTATCTCCCTGAAGGTGGCACTGCCACGTCTTCTGTGGAATGGGAGCCAGCTTCTGTCATTTTAAAGGTGAGATGATGGTGGCCTCACCAGGAGGAAAGGTCTGGAAGGCAGTTGGAAATTGAGGGTGAAGGTCATGACTTCATATGCCCTTATCAGCTAGAGGCTTTCAGTCTGGAGGTAAAGGAGTGTGGGGATCCCTCATTCATTTAATGAGTATTTCTGGCGTGCCTGGCCTGTACCGGGTGCTGTTCCAGGCCCTTGGGATAAATTGGTGAAGAAACCCAAAGTCTGGGCCCCAACAGGAACAGCTGCGTTAAGGGGGTCATCATCCAGTAGAGGAGTTGCAAACGACACCTGGAAAGGGCCAGATGGTGAGTGCTCACAGCTCTGTGGTCTTCATCACTGTGGTACAGGCCATGCAGAGGCCCGAGAGCCATACGTTGGAAAGCGATAGGTACTTTGGAAAAGTTAAAGGAGAGCAGCATCAGGAGGCCTGGGCTTAGAGTCCCCATGGCACCACTGCAGTGCTCAGTAGTCAGGTCACTGCTGGTCTTAATGAGGAGGGGACATTTGACAGAGACTTGAGGAGGGGAGGGAAGGAGTGTGCAGATTTGGGGGAGGAATGTCCCAGGCAGGCGGGATTAAGATGTGCCAAGGCCCACTGGTGGGAGTGAGCCCATTGCTGGAAGAACACCTGGGGGGCTACTGGAGGGAGCGGGGTCAGAGGTCATGGGACAGGTCACACAGGGCCTCTGTGGACCATGGCAGGACTTCAGCTTTACTCTGGGTGGAGTGTCATTTTTAGAAATTAGTAAAACATTTAAAAACATTTCACACTTGAAACACTAGAACAGACACTAACAAGTAACAAATCTGTCATATCTGCTTCAGATTCTCCCCCCTCCCCCTTTTTTGGTAACAACTTTATTAAGATATAGTTCACATACCATAAAATTCACCCTTTTTTTCTTCCCCCCTCTTTGTCTTTTTTACTGACCGGTAACGGGATCGCAACCCTCGGTGTCGCGCCGGTACCAGGGACCGGCAACGGGATCGCAACCCTTGGTGTTGCGCCCGCACCACGCTCAGCCAGTGAGCAGGAACTGGTCTCTACATGGGATCTGAACCCTCGGTGGAAGCGCCGCTGCGCTCCCAAGCGGCGCACTCTCCAGTGCGCCACCGGGCCGGCCCTAAAATTCACCCTTTTAAAAGTATATAGTTCCACCGACTTTAGTGTATTCATAGAATAGTACAGCCGTCACAACTGTCTAATTCCAGAACATTTTCATCCCTCAAAAAGAAGCCCCACACTGCTCCCCTCCCCCCAGCTCTGCTTTCTGTCTCTGGATTTGCCTGTTTTGGACATTTTGTGTAAATGGTATCACACGACATGTGGCTTTTGGGTGTGGCTCTTTTACTTAGCGTCATGTTTTTGATGTTTATCAGTGTTGTCATGTGTTTCAGAGCTTCATTCCTCCTTGTGGCCCATATTCCACCATGTGGACAGGCTGGGTTCCATTTATCCAGTTACCAGTGTATAGACATTTGAGTTGTTTCTGCTTTTTCACTGTTATGGATAGTGCTGCTGTGAACTTCTGTGTATGATGGTTCGTGTGGATGTGTGTTTTCATCTCTCGAGTGTGTGCGCACAGAGGAAGTGTTAGGCCATGTGCTCCTGCTGTGTGGGTGGTCTGAAGAGCTGCCCGACTGCTGCCATGTGGCTGCACCATTTTGCGTCCCACCAGCAGTGCGTGTCTGTCCCCCCCTCCCCCCATCATTGTCGATCTTTGTATCCCAGCAGCCTGTAGGTGTGAGGTGTCTCTCACTGTGGTCTTGATTTGCATGTATCTGGAGGCTAATGATGTTGAGTGTCTTTTCATATGATTCTTCATTTAATCTTAAAAGCATCTTAAGTAAATTTAATGTTCCATTAAATGGGTAAGTCATAATTTTTACAAATAGAATGGCTGTAGTTGACATGTGAGCAAGCTTTCCTCAGGAGTGGCGGGCTGCCTAGCTGCCAGCCCCTTTTGGTGGAGGGCCTCTTGAGCTGCTGTGGGAGCCTGAGGTGGGTGGAGCAACTCTGAAGTGTTTCTCGTCTCTTTTCCTCCCTCGACGCAGGAGCTGGAGAAGTGTGACTCCAATCACTACATCATACTGTTTCGTGACGCTGGCTGCCAGTTCAGGGCGCTTTACTGCTANCCAATCACTACATCATACTGTTTCGTGACGCTGGCTGCCAGTTCAGGGCGCTTTACTGCTACTATCCTGACACCGAAGAAATCTACAAACTCACAGGCACGGGGCCAAAGAGCATCACCAAGAAAATGATTGATAAACTGTACAAATATAGCTCAGACCGAAAACAGTTGAACTTGATCCCAGCCAAAACCATGTCTGTCAGTGTGGATGCACTCACGATTCACAACCACCTGTGGCAGCCCAAGCGGCCCTCAGTGCCAAAGAAGACCCAGACTCGTAAATGATGCCTCTGCGGCCGAGTCTGAAAGGTGTGCCACAGGATCCTTATTTATTATTTTCATCCATTTGGGTACGAAGTGTGTAAATCACAGACCTTTTTCAAAGAGGCTTCTAGACAACAAAAGGAAACCCCTCCCTTATCTCCCAATACACACAGGATGCCAGGCAGAGCGAGAACGGAGGATCTGTTTTCAGAGGCTTGAGGCTGCTGTGGTCACTGCTTGCCACCGAGGCTCTTGGACGAGGGATGTTGTGGAGCGAGATCCCTGGGCTGCCAATCTCCTTGCTCGAAGGTCTCCTTCAGCATAAATCCAGCGCCATCGATTTGGCCCTTTTGCCTCTCACTTGCCCCCTTTGCACGTTACCTGGCACCTG